TATAATTATTTTTCTTAACTCACACAATTAACCCTTAAAATGGAGCATTATGTTAACCCCACTTTATATTAATTTTTGCTTTATTTCAAAGACTGCATAAATCGTTCATCCTAAATATATGCAATCCTATAAATAGTTTCGTTTATGAATGAAAATAATTTTAATAGTATGGTGGATATACATAGACTGTATTTAAAAGCAATATTTTCACTTATTGAAGGGAAAAGTGCTACAATACAAACCATTGGTTTGATCCAACTTTATTATACCCTGCACTTCGTGAAGGGTATATTAACTTTGGTATGGAGTTTGTAACTACTTAAAGGAGTCATCTGCGGTATGGACATATATATCTATTCTTGCTCAGCGTAAAATTCTGAGTCGATTTAGACATGTCCGTCTGTCGTTCCGTCCGTCCGTCCGTCCGATCGCCCGATAACTCAAAAACGAATAATGCAATCGGCACCAAACTTTCACAAGTTTTTTCTTTTGTGCCAAGGACGAGCTCTATTGTTATTGGACGAATTCGGACAACGGGTTCGGGTAGCTGCCATACAACTCAAAGAGTTTATTTTAATTATTTCAAAAACTAATAAAGCTATAAATATAAAATTTTGTATACATGTGTCCAATTATATTCTACACATACTCTAAAAATTATAATGGGTTAGCTGCACCGGTTCGGGTGGGTGCCATACAACTCCAACAGCAAATTTTTTATATTAGGAAAAATAATAAAGTCAGATTCATGAAACTTGGCAGTCATGTGTCCAATTATAGGTCAAATATATTTCTGAAGTTTTAGAGGAATTGCTTGACAGGTTCGGGTACCTGCCATACAACTCCAGAAGCTAATTTTAAATATTTGGAAAAATAATATAGTAGATACATGAAACTTGACAGTTGTGTGTCGAGTTATAGGTCATATATATTTCTGAACTTTCGATGGAATTGATTAACAGGTTCAGGTACTTGCCATACAACTCCAACAGCAAATTTTTTATATTAGGAAAAATAATAAAGTCAGAATCATGAAACTTGGCAGTCATGTGTCCAATTATAGGTCAAATATATTTCTGAAGTTTTAGAGGAATTGCTTGACAGGTTCGGGTACCTGCCATACAACTCCAGAAGCTAATTTTAAATATTTGGAAAAATAATAAAGTCAGATACATGAAACTTGACAGTTGTGTGTCGAGTTATAGGCCAGATATATTTCTGAAGTTTTGGTGGAATTTCTAGACAGGTTCGAGTAGCTCCCATACAAGTTTAGAAGCAGACATATCCGTGAAATTTCTATAGAATGGTTTCACAGGTTTGAGTAATTGCTATACAACAACGAAAGGTGCAGGGTATAAATCAATCGGTTTATACCGACTGAAACGTTTTTACTGCCAAGTTTCATGAATCTAACTTTTTTATTTTTTCAAATATTTAAAGTGCGCTTTTGGACTTGTATGGGAGCTACTCGAACCTGTCAAGCAATTCCAACAAAGCTTCAGAAATATCTTTGACCTATAATTGGACACACAACTGCCAAGTTTCATGAATCTGACTTTATTATTTTTTCAAATATTTAAAATAAGGTTTTGGACTTGTATGGGAGCCACTCGAACCTGTCAAGCAATTCCACCAACACTTCAGAAATATCTTTGACCCATAATTGGACACACAACTGCCAAGTTTCATGAATCTGTCTTTATTATTTTTCCAAATATTTAAAATTAGCTTTTGGAGTTGTATGGCAGGTACTCGAACCTGCCAAGCGATTCCACTAAAACTTCGCAAATATATCTTATCTATAATTGGACACACAACTTCCAAGTTTCATGAATCTAACTTTATTATTTTTTCAAATATTTAAAATAAGCTTTTGGACTTGTATGGGAGCTACTCGAACCTGTCAAGCAATTCCACCAAAGCTTCAGAAATATCTTTGACCTATAATTGGACACACAAGTGCCAAGTTTCATGAATCTGACTTTATTATTTTTTCAAATATTTAAAATAAGGTTTTGGACTTGTATGGGAGCCACTCGAACCTGTCAAGCAATTCCACCAAAACTTCAGAAATATCTTTGACCCATAATTGGACACACGACTGCCAAGTTTCATGAATCTGACTTTATTATTTTGCCGAATATAAAAAATTTGCTTTTGGAGTTGTATGGCAGCCACCCGAACCGGTGCAGCTATCTCATTAAAATTTCCCTGCACTTCGTGAAGGGTATATTAACTTTGGTATGGAGTTTGTAACTACTTGAAGGAGTCATCTGCGGTATGGACATATATATATATTCTTGCTCAGCGTAAAATTCTGCGTCGATTTAGACATGTCCGTCCGTCCGTCCGTCCGTCCGATCGCACGATAACTCAAAAACGAGTAATGCTATCGACACCAAACTTTCACAAGTTTTTTCTTTGGTGCCAAGGACGAACCCTATTATTACTGGACTAATTCGGACAACGGGTTCGGGTAGCTGCCATACAACTCAAAGAGTTTATTTTAAATATCTCGAAAATTAATAAAGCTATAAATATAAAATTTTGTATACATGTGTCCAATTATATTTTACACATGCTCTAAAAATTATAATGGGATAGCTACATCGGTTCGGGTGGCTGCCATACAACTCCAACAGCAAATTTTTTATATTCGGCAAAATAATAAAGTCAGATTCATGAAACTTGGCAGTCATGTGTCCAATTATAGGTCAAATATATTTCTGAAGTTTTAGAAGAATTGCTTGACAGGTTCGGGTACCTGCCATACAACTCCAGAAGTTAATTTTAAATATTTGGAAAAATAATAAAGTCAGATTCAGAAAACTTGGCAGTTGTGTGTCCGATTGTAGATCAGATAATATTTCTGAAGTTTTGGTGGAATTGCTTAACAGGTTCGAGTAGCTCCCATACAAGTCTAAAAGCTTATTTTAAATATTTGGAAAAATAATAAAGTCAGATTCATGAGCTTTGGCAGTCGTGTGTCCAATTATAGGTCAGACATATTTCTGAAGTTTTGATGGAATTGCTTGACAGGTTCAAGTACTTGCCATACAACTCCAAAAGCTAATTTTAAATATTTGGAAAAATAATAAAGACAGATTCATGAAACTTGGCAGTTGTGTGTCGAGTTATAGGCCAGATATATTTCTGAAGTTTTGGTTGGATTGCTCTACAGCTACGAGTAGTTTCCATACAAGTCCAAAAGTTTAAATATTTGGAAAAATAAAGTCAGATTCATGAAACTTAGCAGTTGTGTGTCCAGTTATAAATCAGACATATCCGTGAAATTTCTATAGAATGGTTTCACAGGTTTGAGTTTGTAATTGCTATACAACAACGAAAGGTGCAGGGTATAATTCAATCGGTTTATACCGACTGAAACGTTTTTACTTGTTTTTATATTAAATTGTTTTTTAATATAATGACGAGAAATAAAATACATATTTTTATTTTTCATTAGTTTAATAATCCACTTTAATATGATTATTCTTATTCTATTTTCTTATAAGATATATTATATAATAAATTACAATATAAAATGAAAAATAACTATAAAATAATATAAGGTATTATCTATGTATAAATTATATGTTACATTTAAGATTTCATTTCATTGCATATTACTGAAATATTGACAAAACGTGGAATTAAAAAGAGAAATTTATGTAAGACTGTATAGCTTACAGATTAAAATTGATGAAAATTTATTAAATTATTGAATTTTGTTGAAAAATGTAATATTTTTTTTTTAAAGTAATATACAAATAATAATTTCAAATAACAAATAATATACAAATAATAATTACAGAAACTGCACAATTTGTTTACATTTGTACATTTTGTCTGAAAAAAATTGTGTTAAGTAACAAAAAGGTTCTCGGGACGGCAAATTGTCCGGTTTTTCTGAAAAAATGAAAAGTGAGAATGTTTGAAATCCGAAAGAAAAAAAATCTGATGGATTGCATAAAATTATGAAAATTTCCATTAAATATTTATTTCAAATTCTAAGAAAGATAAAAGTTGTCTTTAATTAATGTACCTAGAAAAATGTAAATTTATTTCTGTTCCAAAGTTTCTCAGTTAATTTTGTTAATAACCTGCACTTAAATATTAAATTTTTAAAAGAGCCTTCAAGAAGAAATTTGACAACTCTATGTTATCTGAAACCATATACATATATTAACGACACGTTAACCTGTTAAGAGATACTAGGATTTGTATGTTAGCAATTATTTTCAAATTAAAAAAAAAAAACACCTCTACATATGAGAAAAATTAAGCACATACAAGTTAAAAAATATTCCATCGTGTATCATTACAAATCTGTGTGTGTGTTCCATGTATTAAATTTTTTGCACATATGAATTTTTTGTATATCACTGACCTCAATAACAAAAAATACCATGTTATGACAAATTCTGAAAAAAGCCAACATTTGATTTCTTTCTCGTTTCGTTTGAAAAGTCTTTATCTATTTGGCAAAGAAAGACTTTTAATTACAGTTAAATATATTGTATTTACAACACAGACATCTTTTTTCTCAAGACTCCGTAGTACACCATTTACTAATCCATACATACGGCGAGTTCAAAGTTGTTCATCATATTTTTTGTCATGAAAAGTATTCTTACATTAGGTGTTTTCGAATAAGTTGGAAATGATCAGGGTGATTTTGGATGTTTGAAAAATAAAAAACGATTAAATACAAAGAATATGCAGAAATTATTTTATTTCGTTTAAACATTAACAAAATTAAATTTCTAGTTCTTAAAAACTAGTTACAGGTAACAAATTACATTATAATAAATTACAGGTAACAAAATATTTTTCAGTTAAAACTAAAATAGTAAATACCTAACAAAATATTTTTTGAAAAAATTATTTTACATAACATATTTACATAAAAAAATAAAATTTTAAATCCATTTTTCTTAAAACTAGTAATATTTGAAAAGAAAAGCAATTAATTTTATGACATAAATGTACCTATGTATTCAACTAAATTCACAAATTTTCTATTATATATTATAATTTTCTCTTATTAGAAATTAAATTACCTATTTATTTAAATTGTTCAAACCTTAACATTAGAAGGTAATTGATTAAATTATATTTGCCACAGGCAACAAAATAAAATTTAAAGCTCTTACAAATTAAAAATACTTCGGTGTGTCGAATTCCTTTCTTCTAATGCTTGTATACATTTATCTCTGATGACCTCGTTCTTTGGCAAAGTCAATGTAAATATGTATTTCTGTTCTACTTTTTGTCGTAGACTACTGTTTCTGCATCCTTCGACGCAACACCCTCGGGGCATTTATATGACGCAACACCTATTTATTTGAACGTAATCAAATATATTATTATATTTTATTTAAATATGATTACAATATAAACATTAAAAAGTACACCGAATCTAATATTAAGTCATTTTTTCTTTTTAAATAAACTTTAGTACTATTTTTTCACATTCACCTTTGTTTTATACTAAATATTATGAACAAAAGACAAAATTTAATTAATATAAATTTTAAATCTTCATTTTATTCAATAACACAAAAAATTAATATAATTATTTACTAAATTAAAATTAAAATTAAATTTTTAACAAGAAATAAATTTATTTTGCTGCTCATAAATCATAAATACGAAATTTATATGTGTATTAAAGAAATAAATAACCTATTTTCTGAACAACTTTGGATACACACATACGCAAAAATATTAACACGTGTTGTACATTATAGGAGTTTATGTTTTACAATATTCATGGGTTATTATGGTTTGCGAAGTGATAAGTATTTTCATTAAAAAAATTTTCCGAACTGCTTCATTCGGGTCAACTTCGATATAATTCGCACGTTTTTCCTTAATTTATTTTCTATTGAAATTATTTTTTAGTTCAAAAAAAAATATTGAAGAAGTAGGTCCTTTTGGTTTTCTTCATATTTTTACACCCTGCACTTCGTGAAGGGTATATTAACTTTGGTATGGAGTTTGTAACTACTTAAAGGAGTCATCTGCGGTATGGACATATATATCTATTCTTGCTCAGCGTAAAATTCTGCGTCGATTTAGACATGTCCGTCCGTCCGTCCGCCCGTCCGTCCGTCCGATCACACGATAACTCAAAAACGAATTATGCAATCGACACCAAACCTTCACAAGTTTTTTCTTTTGTGCCAAGGACGAACTCTATTGTTATTGGACTAAGTCGGACAACGGGTTCGGGTAGCTGCCATACAGCTCCAAGAGTTTATTTTAAATACATATTTCAAAAACTAATAAAGCTATAAATATAAAATTTTGTATACGTGTGTCCAATTATATTCTACACATGCTCTAAAAATTATAATGGAATAGCTGCACCGGTTCGGGTGGCTGCCATACAACTCCAACAGCAAATTTTTTATATTCGGAAAAATAAAGTCAGATTCATGAAACTTGGCAGTCATGTGTCCAATTATAGGCCAGATATATTTCTGAAGTTTTGGTTGAATTGCTTGACAGGTTCGAGTAGCTCCCATACAAGTCTAAAAGCTTATTTTAAATATTTGGAAAAATAATAAAGTCAGATTCATGAGCTTTGGCAGTCGTGTGTCCAATTATAGGTCAGATATATTTCTGAAGTTTTGGTGGAATTGCTTGACAGGTTCGAGTAGCTCCCATACAAGTCTTAAAGCTTATTCTTAAAATTTGTAAAAATAATAAAGTCAGATTTATGAAACTTGGCAGTTGTGTGTCCAATTATAGATCAGATATATTTGTGAAGTTTTAGTGGAATTGCTTGCGAGGTTCGGGTACCTGCCATACAACTCCAGAAGCTAATTTTAATATTTGTAAAAATAATAAAGTCAGATTCATGAAACTTGGCAGTTGTATGTCGAGTTATAGGTCACATATATTTCTGAAGTTTTGGTGGAATTGCTTAACAGGTTCGAGTAGATCTCATACAAGTCTAAAAGCTTATTCTTAATATTTGGAAAAATAATAAAGTCAGATTCATGAAACTTGGCAGTTGTGTGTCGAGTTATAGGTCACATATATTTCTGAAGTTTTGGTGGAATTGCTTAACAGGTTCGAGTAGATCTCATACAAGTCTAAAAGCTTATTCTTAATATTTGGAAAAATAATAAAGTCAGATTCATGAAACTTGGCAGTTGTGTGTCGAGTTATAGGTCAGATATATTTCTGAAGTTTTGGTGGAATTGCTTGACAGGTTCGAGTAGCTCCCATACAAGTCTAAAAGCTTATTCTTAATATTTGTAAAAATAATAAAGTCAGATTTATGAAACTTGGAAGTTGTGTGTCCAATTATAGATCAGATATATTTGTGAAGTTTTAGTGGAATGGCTTGCGAGGTTCGGGTACCTGCCATACAACTCCAGAAGCTAATTTTAATATTTGTAAAAATAATAAAATCAGATTCATGAAACTTGGCAGTTGTGTGTCCGATTATAGACCAGATATATTTGTAAAGTTTTGGTGGAATTGCTTGGCAGATTCAGGTCCAATTCATTTTAAATATTTGGAAAAATTATAAGGTTCAAAAGCTAATTTTAAATATTTGGAAAAATTATAAGGTCAGATTCATGAAACTTGGCAGTCGGATGTCCAATTATAGGTCAGACATGTCCGTGAAGTTTCTATAGAATGATTTCAGAGGTTCGAGTAATTGCTACACAATAACGAAAGGTGCAGGGTATAATTCAATCGGTTTATACCGACTGAAACGTTTTTACTTTTTTTATTTTTATTTTAGTATATTAAAAGAGGAATTAACAATTAAAGGCATTCAATTGCTCCTTTTCAGGCTCTTCTAACTGAAATTTTAAAAATTATTTTTTGCATAATTATAGTTGATCTTTAATAATAAAAAAATTTACTTTGGTAGATTTGGTTAAATAATATTAGTTATCATTTAAATGTAACCAATAGCAACAAATTATTGTTTCTATACTATGATTTTTTTAAACTTGGAGTAATTCTGCAGCATATACAAAATTTTAATAATGCTTTAGACATTTAGAAGTACTACGATTTTCGAACGTAGCATTTTTTTATCCAAACTTATATAAACTTCTTTTCAGTAAAAATTTGAAATGAAAGGAAATTAAGCTTAGTGTTTGGTGAATTTACCCTATAAAAATTTTTCAATTTTAAATTTATTTTGATTTTTTTTTCGTAATTTAATTCAGTACCTCTTTAAATGGCACTTAGGAAGGTCCTTACTGACTGATTTTCTATAAATTTTTGATAAAATTTATTTTGAATGCAAATTTCTTTCTTTTGACAATTTTTTTTTTGCAAACATCAAAATAAAACTCCATTATTATTTACATAAAAATATTTTTAGGTATTTTTAGATGTAAACAACTTAAAACATAAAAGGACGGTGATAACTTTTTTTCTTAATTAAACTCTACAAATTTTTTTGAAAACCATAAAATGGAAATGCGAATTTCCCTCTCTACGCAGTGGCCTTGTACTTACCAGGGAACAGGTTGAACATTCGCCAAAATTAGACATACAAAATATTAATGAAATGGTTGTATCGAAATTTAAAAAAAAAATACACTTAAAATTATTAAAAAAGTGAACAAAGTAAATAATATAGGTATTTTATTGTGACACTCAGTAGTGAAGACGAGGATGGATAAGGATACGGTATATAAGTGATCAATCAAATCCATTGTCTCAAACAAATTCCATAAAGATATTATTAGTATTATCCATAAAGATATTATAAGATTAGTATATTCAATAAACATGTTCCTTTTGTTTTGTCGTGAAAAAATATGTTTATTAAATGCAAAAGATACTGTATAGATATTGTTTATTGAAAAAAAAGTGTTTCTTTAATTACATCAACAAAAATGCTACATATAAAAATTATAATTGTTATTTAATATTTTTATAATGTTATACATATTTTTTATCAAAATATCACAAAATTAAAAATTATTCTTAATAATAAATTAATATAAAAAGTGCATTTGAAAATTATTTCATTAATCATTTTCCGAATATGTATACATGAAATTTCAGCTTTTTATCTTCAAGGATGTAGAAGTTTTACAAACAGACACGCGGACAGATGGACGAACGTACGGATAGATAGAATGAATCTAATAAAACTTGTTTTCAAAAGTTTTCTGGAAAACTAATAACAACAAATCTTAACAAATGCGATATGCATAGCTCAGTGCTCGAAGTGAGGCGGGATGGAGTGGGATGCCATCCCAGTACTTTTAAATAATTGGAAATCCATCCCACTACTTAATAGGAGAGAAAAATGCGTTTCGGAACATGTTTTTTAAAATTTACGAAAATTTTCTAATGAATTTTAAAAATTTTTTTAACAAAAAATTAAATATATGTAATTTTAAATAAGACCGATTTCAAATAGTAACGTATAATTTTTTTCTATTAATGAAATTTTCGTTACTACATAGTAGTCTATGCATTTCTTTGGTAACAATTTGCACAGTTTTTGGTTCAATTTTTAGTTGATTTAACTTTGAATATAAATATTCTCGTTAGTTTACTTCAACAGTTTGGTAAATTTTGTTTAGTTTTTTTTTTAAAAAAATAACTAAAATAATACTTTTTTTTTTTATTTTTTTTTTATTTTTTTTTTTTTTACCATCCCACCACTTTGAGTATCCCACTTCGAACACTGCATAGTTCTTAATATATTAGAATAGAATAAAATATAATAATAATAATAATAATTACATTAACTTAAGGGTTAAACAGGGTTGATATAAATTGGATTCTAAAAAATGGTACAGCGAACCTAAAATCATGATACTGCAGACAAAAAAATGGCACTTTTTTACCGACCGTATTGTGTAAACAATAGGTAGGTTATGTGATGGCAACAAATTTTGCATATCGAGTTTTCGGAGGGAATGCACTTCTCCGTAGTAGGGAAGTGTAAGTAAACTATTTTTAGCAAGCTGTCGGTCCGTCGGTCTGTCGGTTTGTCGGTCTGTCGGTCTGTCGATCTGTCGGTCTGTGTGTGCACGCGTGTATCTCAAGTTCTCCTGAACCGATTTTGATGAAATTTTATATGTAAGTTTATTTCCACCATGGCACGGATTGATCAACTTTTGGGATATATCAGGCCTCGGGAACTGCACTTTTTAGCGCGCCTGTTTTATATTTTTGAACATTTTGAAGAAAGTATTCAACCGATTTACTTGAAATTTTATATATAAGCTCAGCTCGACCTATAAAATAATACTTTTTTTTTATTTTTTTTTTTTTATTTTTTTTTTTTTACCATCCCACCACTTTGAGTATCCCACTTCGACCACTGCATAGTTCT